GCTACACATACTACAAAATAAAACTTCATGCCCAGATTAAAAATAAAAAAAAATAAAAATAAAAACACTACTGACGTGGTTGCAGATTACCTCTGTGTAAAACTTATCAAACCAAATATCTTATTTATGTATTTCAGATTATACTCAGTACTCCGGTGCTCCATAAATCTTTTTGGTGTTACCTGTCATCTTTTTTTCACCCAGCTACAATCACTGCTGCTGCTGTCACTGTACTGTTGTTCCTGGATTTTATTCCAACAATTTCCAACAAAAGTACTAAAAGAGCATTTTTAAGACCAACTCTTTTGATGTTCTATCCAGGTTATAAAGGTACAATTCAGAACCAGAACTAACCTAAGAATTTCCGCAATTTTTAATCCCCCCTCTGGTTCTAGATGATCCGAGGCCTCCAGGGCCAGTGGAGCTGGATCAGAACATCCCTGGAACAGTGACTCTGAGCTGGACTTCCTCTCCAGATGAGAAGAGGGATGACAGGCTACACTACATGGTGTCAAAGCGGGACTCCTTCAAACGCACATGGAGAACAGCGGCAGACAACCTCTTTAACAATAAGTTCACTGTTGTCAACATCCTGCCTGGACGGGAATATAACTTCAGGGTGTTTGCTAAAAATGACATGGGTCTGTCACCACCCTCTGAGTCCCCTGTGTTTGGAACCATAAAAGAAAAAGGTTTGTGTCAAGTTTAATCATGAACACTCAGTTTTTACTGTACAGTACACCAACACCAACTCATGGCTGCTGAGAAAAAACAGATGACTTCTGATAAGCATTGGTTTGCTTACAAATTCATTTTCAGTGGCCATAAAGAAAAATGTATTTGGACAACTGATGTCAAAAGAATCAATACGTCTGTATCGAGTCAATACCAAAATTCTGAAAACTAACCATCAAACAAACATGCTGCAGCTTTCATACGCAGACTGCTGGGGATGATGATTAGTCTAGAAAGACATCTGCATGCAAAGGTGGAGCAACAGATCTGCTGTGACTTATGGAGGAAAAAAAAGACCCCAAAAGTCACCAATGAGGATATTTAATGTTGACATTATGTTTAACATGTTAGCAACCTGTCTGCTTCAGCCTCCTGAGTTCTCAAATGGTCTTTCCACAAGTATTAGCATGAGGAGGATGTTGAGCAGGAGAGACGGGAGCAACAAAGACGCACAAAGACAGCTATATAACAGTAATGATGTTTTATCATTTGAAAGCTCTGTCCCTGAGGTTTTTTGCTTTTTTATGAGATACATTCATTTGAATGGTATATTTTCTGCTGTGGTATCAAAGCTGGTATCAGGAACCATAGACTACTTTGGAACTACACTGAACAAAAATATAAATGCCCCATGTCAAACATAAGAGTTTTATGAACATTACGCAATATATGGAGAAACTCAAAATATATTTTCAGTAATTACTGATCTTCATATCGGCATTGATACCATCGTGGTATGGCCATTTGTAGCGGATTGACAGTCCTTCAAACACGATAGTGGTCAGGTTGAGGAATTAGATTTTTCAGTATCTTGTGTGTCCGCCAGCTGCGTCTCTCAGAGCAGCACATCTTTGCATGGAGTTGATCAGATTGTCTATGGTGGCCTGTGGAATGTTATTCCATTCGTCCTGGAGTGTCACACGGAGCTGACCCACATTGCCTGGAACTGGAACACGGTCCCAGACACACCTATCCAGAACATCCCAAAGATGCTCTATTGGGGACATGTCTGGTGAATGTGCAGGCCAGTCCAGAACTTCAATGTCCTCTGTTTGAAGGATTCCATGCAGATACGGGCAACATGAGGTTGGGCATTGTCAGGTTGAAAGGTGATGTCATGCTGGCGCACACACGGCACAACAATTGGGGTGAGAATCTCGTCCCAATATCTTTGTGCTTTAAGGTTCCCTTCAGTGAAGTGCAATGGTGTTCTATGCCCGTATGTGATGCCTGACCACACCATAATGCCATCACCTCCATGGGCAACCCTGGGCATAACATTTGTATCTGCAAACCGTTCACCCACGCGTCGCCAGACACACTGTCTTGCATCTGCATGATACAACTGGAACCTGGATTCATCCATGAACATCACCCTTCTCCATCGTGCCAAGGGCCATCGGACACGTGCATTCGTCCATGCGAGTCGGTTCCTACGCCGGACAGCAGTGAGATCCAGACCATGGTGAGGGCGCAGAACATGCAAGTTGGCTTCTCGTAGGCGGTTACTGACAGTCTGAGGTGTGATGCGTCTGTTGTGCAGACCAATCGTCTCATCAGCTGTGTGTGTCGCTGGTCTTAGCCGATCCCGCAGATGGACGAGTCAGATGTGGCGATCTTGTGCTGGAGTGGTCACACGTGGCCGACGAGGATGAGGTCGATTTGCAGTAGTGCCAGTCTGTTGGAAACGAACTCTTAAACAGCCTATGGTCCGATAATGGACAGTGAGCCGTGCAGCTACTGCTCTGGTGGACATCCCTGAATCCAACATGCCAATGGCACGCTCCCGCATAACTTGCGACATCTGAGGCATTATGACTTGTGACAAAATCTGACATTTTGGGGTGGCTTTTTATTGTCCCCAGTCCAAGGATTGTCCAGTTGTTGCTCATTTAGTCTGATCACCCACTGGACATGCCCCACCCATGCACTGAGTAAAAAACAACTCACTGAGTGATGCTCACTGACAGCAAGTTGGATTAAAAATTACACACAAATCAAGAGAAATATTACTTTTGTACAATAAAATGTCAGCAAATGCTCATTTACAGTTGTTAACTCCACATGGCAACAATATTTGACATGGGGCGTTTATATTTTTGTTCAGTGTATAATCAAACTTTCATGAGGTTCACAAAATGTTAAAGAAACTGATTGTTACTTGAGATCATCTAACTACTAATAAGTATCTGAGCAAACAGTGGATTTGTGAGTGACAGCAGAAGGCGCAGGAGCAAATCAACGAAAGAGATCCTGCAGGTTGGACTGCATAATTGTGAGTAAAATTCAGAAAAAGAGGTAAAAACAGCTGCAAGGATCACATCAGAAACCAGTGAGAGTTACTAGATGCAACTACATCCACAGACGGTTCACTACATAGGATCAACTGGTACTGGTACAGAGGGAGACTGATACAGCAGGAACTATTAATAGGATCAAAGAATAAGACAGCTGGGGAGAAATTTGCAGACAAGGCCAGTCGACTAGTGGTCAACAAGGCACGATGTGGACAAAGAAAAACAAGACAGCAAGGACTGTACAGAAAATGAACTTTTAGGTGATAGAGGTTACAGCTGTAAGGTCGGTGAGATGACACCAGACTGAAGCTGAGAGAATTAGTTGATGTATGCACTGTCACACTAACAAAACTTCAAGAGATCTGTAATATTTAGAATTTTGCTGTAACAAATTATTCATTTCTTCACTTTGAGAAAATTTCAGAGTTCTAATTCCTACAGCAAACACAAAACAAGAGGTTGCACTGCGTTAAAGAGGTTAAACCTGCTGGACACAACGTTGTTTAATCCATAGTTAGGGAATATTGTCTTACAAGGCCACTACTGCAATTTAGTTACTTACTATCACCATCCGTCCATTATCTATACACCGCTTAATCCTCACTAGGGTTGCGGGGGGCTGGAGTCTATCCCAGCTGACTTAGGGCAAAGGCAGGGGACACCCTGGACAGGTCGCCAGTCTATCACAGGGCTACACTTAAAGACAACCAAGCACACTCACATTCACACCTACGGACAATTTAGAGTCACCAATTAACCTCAGCATATTTTTGGACTTGTGGGAGGAAGCCAGAGAACCCGCAGAGAACCCATGCTGCACAGGGAGAACATGCAAACTTCATTCAGAAAAATCCCAAGCCTCCTCTAGCTGGGAGGCGACGGGGCTACCTACCAACACCATGCAGCCCACTAACCATCACATTTCTGTAAAACACTAAACTTTATGCATTTTCTTTGTGTTTCAGGAAAGTTCAAAGTAAACATGCCAGAGACTAAACCCTTGGACTTTGAGGCCCCTCCGTCCTTTATTGTTCCCCTGAAGAGGCGCACAGCCCCTCAGGGTTACGAGTGCCACATGAGCTGTGCAGTTCGAGGCAACCCAGCTCCACGCGTGACGTGGTACCGCAACAACATCAGCCTCAACACAAACACCAACTACCACATCACAAACGTATGTGGAGTGTGCTCCATGCTCATACTGAGAGTCGGACCCAGAGACGACGGAGAGTACAAAGTGGTCATAGAGAACAAGCGGGGCACAGCAGAGTCCTCCATGTCCCTGAACGTCAGAGGTAATAACAAGCATGTAGTTCTCTGCAAAGAGGCTGGTGACACATTTTCAGAGTGAAGTATGTACATGAAACGACTTCAGACTGTGTTTCTTTTCAGAGTGAAGAAGAGCTGTAGCTGCTGGACAGAAGCTGAACTGACAGACATCTAACTTTGTTTGAAATCAGTTACACAAAATGTTGTGACAGCGGATTCTATTTTTGTCTATTTCCCACTAAAGCGATGCACCACTATTTACACTTAGCCTAATATCATGCTTTACAGCACGCAAGAGATTTATTATGATGCTTCGATTTACTGAAGATGTGTTTACTTATCTTTGTTATTTTCCAAACATTTTCAAATATACCTCTTTATGTAGAAATCAGACAGCTACATTACAGGGAAGATTTGGTAAATAACTATCAAATGGTAGATGCTGCACAAGTGGCTTTACATACTGTTTTGGTTTGAGAAAACCTAATGCAAGAGAGACCCTGTGAATGCTTTGCTACTATAGAAACAGGGAGCTGCTGCCATGGCTGGTACTTTGCATTAAATTAATAAAAGACAGACTTGGCTGTTGTGGTTTTTGTCCTCTGCAATAAAACTAGTTACAACCACAGTCAACGCGATAAAGATTTCTGCCAATTATATCACACCGTTTCACAGATCAGAAATGTACAGCTGCTATGAAAAATGACAGAACAGCTCTCCCTTGAGGTGAACCTGCAGTCTGACACATGGGTGAGTTTGCATGGTAGTTCATGGGAGGCTGACATGAAAAATGGCAAATACAGATGCACATTAAGTAATACATATACCATATACGAGGTTTTCCATGGTGAAAAACAGGCCTGATAGGGCAGGTGACTACGATGAAGTTATCATATTTGATATAAATCTAAGCATGTCCATTATTTCTGGCAGTTTGATAAACTGAAGCACTGTTTTTTGTTTGTGTTTGTTTTTTGCATAAATGAAACCCAGATTAAGAACTGGTTAATTATGTATGTATGTATGTATGTATGTATGTATGTATGTATGTATGTATTTATGTTTGTATGTTTGTATATATTTATGTAATTTATGTAATTTTAAAATGCTCAGTTATTACAATTATTAGTTATTATAATACTTATAATTTGATTATGTTTACAACCTGGTAGGAGGAACCTTGGTATAATAAGGACAGTCTTGTTAATATACACATTTTGTTTTTAAACTTTGAGATATTTTATTTGTACTTTTTCCTCTATAGCCTATTATCTTTTTTCAGTTTTATGATCAGTTATACTAAAGACACTAAAATTAACTGATTGGTTAATCACTAACTGATCACTTGACAAATTAAAAAAAAAAACATTAGTGATTTTTCAAGCAAAATTGCAAAACATTTTCTGGTTCCAGCATCTCAGTTATGACGATATTGCTGCTCTTCTTGCCATATATGACAATAAACTATGTCTGTGAAGGTTTTTCACTGCCAAAGCCAACAAACTTTGGCCTCTGAGACATTTAAATGCCACGTTTTCCCTAACTTGCAACATTTCATACACTAAAAAAAAGCATGATCTATTAATCAGTTTACTGAGAATATGATTTGCAGGTTAATCAAGTATAAAAGCTACAGGACTTTTGAGCAGATGTGTGCCGTAAACATCAGCCCATCAGTGCATTTCTGCACATAAACACACAACAGGGCATACAAAAATACAGCAACTTGGCCTCACTAGGAAGAGCTTTAAATTAAAGCTTCATACTTTGAACAGAAGCCTTTTCTTTATGATGATGAAGGTCATAAACATCAGAAACCTTTTCCACCACCACAGTTACATAACACCTGTCCCGCCCCCCACGCCAGCAGTTGCTTTGGATATTGTGGGGGGTCCAATGAATGAGTAGGTCAAAGGGTTTGGCAGAATGGACAACGTGATACCTTCAGAAATGCAGAGGAGAAGCCGCACTTTGCTGGATCCACTTCACAGAAGACACACAGCCTTCAGAGTCCGTCCAAGCCTCTCTGCACCATGGCCAAGCGCAAGTCCAGGAAGCCGCAGCCAGAAGACGTCTCCATCTTGTTGGAGACTCCAGCAGAAAAGTCTAAAACCAGGACAAACTCCTTTTCTCCTGCACCTCTGTTGTTCATCATTACCTTCACGGTCGGGGCCTGTATTATGGGATGTTTCTACGTGCAGCAGCAGCAGCAGCAGCACAGCATCGACCAGCTGTCAGAGTCTTTCACTACAATGCACGAGAGGATCACAAACTTCCAGCAGGTGATGGAGACCGAGGACGCACAGGTGAGTTAGTGAAACTCACACTAAGACTGGTCGCTGTACTGCTAAATGTAATTTCTTACGTCATTTGAGATTGACTGAGCAAGTTAAAATTCCTTCAGTGTGATTTTTGGCGCGTCAGGGGGGTTATCAATCACTGCTGCATGTGCAGGAGGAAAGCTGTGTCAAGGTCACTACAACAAAACCGTTCACCGCCGTAAGCTCTGCCGGTTGCCCTTCTAAATAAAAGCATTCGTTTTTTACTTTATTGAAAGAAATGCGTTTTTATTAACAACTAAAAAAAAAAAAAACAGCCATGTGTGCATTATTCATTTTTATACACATACAGTCTGTGCCATTTTTAAGAGAATGAGCGTAAATTGTAGACGGCGAGAACTATTTTGAAAATCTTAGATTGCATCATTTTTTAAAGCGGCTGACTTGACATTAGTTGTAGCACCTGTTGATATATTTAGTGTCCCAAGTGCCAGCAGCAACTTCAGTCACATTTCAGAGCCATTCACAAGCACAGCAGTTGTTGTGAAATGATGAAACGTTATTTGTTACGTAAATCCTCTGAACCCCGAGCAGTTTCTGGACGTGTTTTGCACATGTCACATTTTTGCTCACTGTGGGCTCATTTATAAAGTCCTGCACCTGTATGGAAACAGCAAAACCATGACTAGAAGTAGGGAGAACTCAGAGATGCCATTTGATTAGTATAAAACAGTTGTAAAGTCATAAATCACACAAAAAATAATTTATTTTACAAATAATTAGTCTTACAACAATGTTTTCCACACACTATTTTTCACACTACTCTGCACATCAACTCCACACAAAAAACCAACATTTCACCATGTAGATTATATCATCCAACAGCTTCCTGACAGTCTCCCTCTCTGTATACCGGTTTAGCACTTTGCTGCATTTTTTTATTGCCCGAGCGTCAATCAAATAATCTCTCTAGTATGTTTCCATACTCTCTACTCAGTGTAAACACTGCCTGCATTTCAGCCAAAGTGCGACAAACACTGAATGTTTCTTACAGGTATGTTGATTACAGTTGAGCCACTCATGGCTGCTCGATTAAGCCAACGAGTGTAAAATTGTTTGTTTTTTACAGGATCTGATTTAGGCAAAAGAAGTAGTAAAGGGATTTTGATGTCACAATTTAAGCATAGATTTGGATTGTTGTCGTGATGGGACCACAAGCTGCACTGGATTCATTTAAGAACAGTCTGATCATTGAAAGTCGAACAATATTTATGTATGTATGTATGTATGTATGTATGTATGTATCTATTAATTTATTCTTTTTTTAAATTGTTATTTATGTCATTTAAAAAATAAAATAAAAAAAGATAATCTGCCTTTGAAGCCCACTCTGACAGTGTTTGGGGATATTTTTGAGAACAATACACCTCTAAGAGATATTGCCTTGGATTTTATTTCTCTATTTATATGCAAAAAGCGTATAAATACACATACACATTCAACTATGCAATGAAATGTTTTGGACAAAATGAACCAATCAACTCACGATTCAATCTTTGAAAAACTAATAATAATAATAAAAAAAAAACACTATACAAAACAAGATAGAATATGTGCAGATAATGTACAATATTGACAATGAATTTGTCTATATACATGTGCAGGGCCCAGAGCTAAAAATAAGAAAACAGAAGTGTCTGGTTAAAATCACTAAGAACACAGTTTTCAGACATTTTAACTTAGTTAAACCACATGGCAAAATCCTTTCTCTCACTCTCTAGCCTGAAACAGATCTGCTGGTGGAGGAGAGGCTCTTTGCCCTGGAGGAGGCTCAGAAACAGGCCCAGGAGAAAGCCGAGGTCGCCCTGACCACATCAGAGGAGCTGAAGAACTCTGACCTCCTCTCACAACTCTGGGCCCTCCACGCTGAGCTGAACACCCGATGGGATGAAATAAAGCAGGCTGCCCTGTCCGTCACAACCCTCCAGGGCATGTACAAGAACCATAGCGAGGAGTTCGAGGTCATAAAGAAGCGAGTAGCGTCTGCTTTGAGCTTCGGCTCAGCGCTGTCTGAAACTGTGGCGGGACTGACTAGCGCATGCTCTAGAATTGCTGAGCAAGTTACATTAGGGGAGGATCTAAATGCACAATTCGAAGGACAAGCCTCTGAGCTGAATGACCTGAGAGAGCTACTGAACCTTCATAATGCTGCACTTCACACAAACAACCAGGAGATGGCTGCAATAAAGTGAGCTCAGTTTGATTTCACAGACTATCTGCATGTATGCTCAGCAAACTTTACATAAGGTTTCTCATTCCTGTCCTATGTGCATTCCAGGGAGCTTGTAAAGGCTAAGCAGGCCATGCGTGCCCAGACATTAGAGGAGACACTCAGTTTAGTCCGGATGACTCTGGATGAGCAGTTTTTCACTTCACAGACTCTCCACGGCAGGATCATGGCTCAGCTGCACACGTTTCACTCCCAGGTAAAACACTGCTACATTTACTGAGATTGTTATTTCAGAAACCCAATGAGGTGCTTTATATTTCATACTGCAACTACTAAATGTTTAAGGATAAATAATGGTTGACAAATTTGTCTATCTCAGCTGGCAAATGGACCATCTTTGCCAATTACCCACAAGTCAACAGAGGAAGGCCGTCTGATTGAGAAGTTAGTCTCCAGAACAGCACAGAATGACGCCGAGCTGCAGGAAAAGATGGAAGATGCTGAAGATGACACAGAAGAGCAAGCAGAGGAGGACGTGATGCAGGAAGAACAGCCATCAGAACACAGAGAGGATGGGGATGTCACAGAAGAACAAGAGGAAGATGAAATCGCACCAGAAGAGCGAGTAGAGGAGGAAATTACAGGACAGAGTGAAGAGGCGAAGGATGCTGGCGAGACAGCAGAAGATGAGACGGCAGAAGAGAACACGGCAGGTTACGTGTTGGAGGAGTCTTTGGAAGAGGAGGTTTCCAAAGATGAGGAAGAGCCCCCTGAATTAATTGGTGATATCTTCGTGGACACACATGAGGAGGATGACTAGTTGTACATGTAACACTCCAGTACATTGAACATCATCACCTGTTTCCAGTCAAAACATGGCTGTGATTTAAAAGTCTTATATAGATCAGTGGGAACCGTGTTCACATGGAGCATACTTCTGTGGATGGTTGTGAATGATTTAAAACATTAGTTTTATGCCACGGTGGTGGAGTTTGCTGCCATATGTCAGCTTCCATCTGGTAAAAAGCTGAGGATTTTTCCAGCCCTCCCACCAACCGTCAGTCTGACATGCATGTGAAATACTCTAATTATAGAAATAAAAGTACTGGTAACAAAGGTGAGGATTGCTACAGTTAATTCAATATAATTCACTAGAACTATGGGAACAATTTTAGGCATTAATTATAAAGTAAGGGACCTGAAAATCAGAGCAACATGTTACTGAAAGGAAAATTAAGCTAAGAAACTAAAATAATTCCAGCAGCTGTTCAGATTCCTCTCATGAATTGGCTCATTAGGTTTTAGATCATGTACGAAAAATGGATTTTAATGGCTTTTAATTAATGAAACTGTTAATCTGTGAGTAAACATCAACATTAACAGAGTATGAAATTAACAGCAGACAAGGACAATAGTGTTTTTCAGAAAGAAACGGAAACGGAACATGGCTGGACTTGTAATTTAACACATGCACATGTGTGTTGCTTCTCGCTGTAAAGTTATTTATGGTGCAACTGTACATGCTGTACATGTGAGTACTTTGGATTCCAGGAGTACATACAGTTCTCTTGTGATGAAACTCTTTTGTGGAAAGTACTGTTTTCTGCCAGCAGGTGGTGCCTGGATACTTCAGAGAGGATGAAGAATGATCAGCAAATGTAATCCAAGAACCAAAACCTTTTTTTTCCTCTATTTTTCCAAAAAGAGGAACTGTGATATGTTTCATGATTTTTATCGTGGTATTAAAATAACAAAGAAATAAAACTCCGATTCTCTATCTAGCTTTATACCTCAGCCTTCTTCTCTTGTTGTGTAAAGCTCAGTCAATCTTCTGTGATATTCGTCTACTGAACTAACTGAAAACCAATAGCAGGCATAGGTTTTTGGTTTTGGGTTGCCAGGAGGTTAAATGTGCATAAACTGTAGTGTGTGGATCAAGTTTAAGATTCTTTTCCATAACTTTGCACTACTACAAACTGAACTGTAAATGGTCATTTTGTAAATGCACTTGACATTTTATATAATCAGATTCAATTTTCAGGTAGTAACAAATAAAGCAGGGTATGGTGACAAGGTGATCGATATCCTGTGCAGCAAAAACAATCATTTAAAAATATATGTAAAAAACTCTATCCAGAAATATATTGAATAGTGATATCAAAGTGCAATGTGCCCTGTCCCTGCTGTCAAAATAGAAATTAGTTGAAAAAAATATTTAATAAGATTGCCATCATGGCAACTCTGGAATGAAAACAAATATAAACCAGAATATAAAACGAAGCGTCTGGTCTGTATCACCATCTAAGGCTCCAAACACTTCCAGCATGCAGATTGTTTAGGATGGGTCTTCATCAAAATATCAGGTATTTGCTAAGAAATATATTTGTCACATTCCACAGGCACTTGCGGCATGAGCAAAGCAACAACAATGCTCCCCTTTCATTAGATTCCCTTTTTAGGTGAATAAATTGCAAGCAAATGACCTGTGTTAACATAATGAATGCAGCAGTCATGGAACATACTCAGAAAGGTATGTAAGCTCACGTTAACTATCAACACATGCAGCCTCCAGCTTGATTAAATTCAAAAGATCTAACCACAGTCCTCCACCTGAATGCAGTATATATTAGTAGTATCTGACCAACTTTTTGTTTTTGTAAGCTCTTATCTCCCCAAAACATAAACCTTTGTGTCCTCGTTCATGTGTTTTTGATTTTACTCCAACTTTCAGATGTATCTACTAGCAGCTGTTCTAATTAAGGGCTTTGACATTTTTAATAGCCTGAGATCCTTTTTTATAAAGACTTTCCTGCATTTAAATAGTAACTGCATCTACCTTTGCATTACACACAGTATCAGATTTTTACTTCTTTTTTTTTTTTCTTTTTTTTTAAATGAAATATACAGAAATGGCTTTAAAAAGCATGTTTTCATCTAAAGGTACCCTTAAACACAGTTAATGTGACTAATGATGCTTTATGTTTTCATTTTTGTGGAGTGATCGTAGGTCCCCTGAGAGTCCTTGTGAACAATGCTGTTGTCAGATCCTTGTGTCCACACAGCAGCCCGCCTACTCCCCAGTCCCACCACTTCCTCCTCAGCTCTCACACTTGTGCTGTTCTTTCACTCTCATCTGATATGCAATGTCTCGCCATCACATGAAGATCACACTTGCATCGTTCACTTTAACTCAGGAAACAACTTCATCTGAATTCAGTCTCAGTGGATAATAAAAGTACACCCCTCTACCTCTTCATTTTTATTTTTTTTTAAGAAGAGCTTTTCTAACATTTTACAAGTACTTTGGAACACAACACAGCTGCATGAGGTGACTCCAACAGCTCAGGAGCGATGTCATCTCTACTGTCTCACAACAAAGATCAGCCACGGATCAGAAAGTCGCTTTCTGACTCTTGTCCAGCTTCATCTACAGCCGCCGCTAAGAGCCTGAGGGTAAGGCCCGATCTTCTTTCATGTTTTCAGTGTCTGTCTAGTGAGAGGAAATGCCACAGCTGACATAATGCAAACACTAACTTTCAGGAAGACTCGGAGTAAAAAAAAAAAAAAGAAAAGTCTCAGTAACAAGCCACAGAGGTATTTTTGAGTGTTGGGATGTACTTACATAATTGAATGTGCCCTCAGACTTCGCCTACAGTCAATGAAAAATTATTCATAGATGTTAATGACCTCTTCCTGCCTCATTTAAAATTATCGCATATTCTTGGAAACTCCTGTGTAACATGAAACAGACAAAAAATATAATCTATGATACTATTTCACAACAGTAATGTGTGCCTTCATATGCTTTATCTGCACTGCAACTAAGAAAAAATCAAGAGAAAGTTTGTAAAAGTAGAATTTCTCAAAAGCTTATGAGGTCAATGACTCTACTTGTGTTCCTGTAATATTATGATACCGTTTTATTGAGCTATGTTCGGTACTTTGAGTGACAATTAATCCTATACAGATGGTGGTTACCCAATATTCAGTGTATTATCTCTCAAATTGTGGGCTAGACATGATGATCTGAATGAGATGTGCTTTTTCTCCAAGTTCTAATTATGTTAATGGTTTAGAATATGAAGTGTAAGACATTGATGTTACAGTGTAGTATATGATATGCATTTTAAACGATCTGTACACCCCTAGATTTGGAAGTGTTTTGATTTCTGAGAGCTTTTAAAGGCCGTAGTTATTAACATTAACTGTGAAATCGAATTGCGTGTTGGTGTGGGAGCAAAGAGAAAGAAAAATAAGTCTACGGAAAAGTTGTAATGAGCAGTTAGCCTTATCTGTTTACGTAAAGCAAGAATCAACTTGGGAAAAATAGACGTAGTGACTCAGAAAACATCAGTGTGTGTGAGAGAGAGAGAGAGAGAGAGAGAGAGACAGGAAGAGAGGAGAAGGAGAGAGAGAAAGCAGAGGGGTGAAAGACAGGATGACAGGGAACAGAGAGAAAGAAGGGACAGATTGCTTAGAGGACTGGCTTGTGGGAACTCAGTATTTATGGATGTTTATCTCTGTGCTAGTCCTACGGGAAGCTCACATTTTCCACTTGGGAATAGCTGGTCAGCAGGCAAAAAAGTTCCTCGTGGGATCTCGAGGGGCTGGAGGACAGCTTTAGAGATGGAAACACTCCTTCAAGGGACAAAGTCGCAAAAGCCTTTTCCAACAGCATCTGTTTATGTGTGACGTTGCTTAATCCAAACCAGAGCGTTTTCCAAGTCAACGTGCAGTGTATCATTAATTATCATTTACCAAGCATATCTGAGTGTCCAGAGAGCTTTTAAGGAGATGAAATCAGAATCTGGGGATGATCCAGAGGTCCTGTAAATGTCTTAACAGAGGCGTATCACTCTGTTTACACGTAGTGTCTGTAACTTTAAGGCCTGTCTCTTCTTTACAAGAATCCACTTACTGTCTCCATTAATTTTGCTTGACATGTGCTGTAACTCTTTAAGCACTGGTCACAAGTCTGGTTTTTTGCTTAAGTTTATATGTGTTCTCTGGAAAAGTTGTGCAAAAGAATAAAATGCAAATGGAACAGTACTAGAAGTTATATCAGCGAGAACAAGCGATCCAGTCCATTTATCTTTCTGGTTTGTGCGCAAAAGTGCCTGCAGGAGAACTTAATACGTACTCATTGTTAGCACTGGTGAATGAGATAATATTGAAGGAGTGATTCATATTTGCTTTTCCTACCAATGGACGAGTACAGAGAGGACAGTAAGTGGCAACACTGTCATTTCTGTCCACTGTGTGTACTATATACTAGTTTTATTGCCTTTTAAACTATCATGTAAAACTCATTCGACTGCCTTGTTGAAAGCTGCAACAGAAACAAAACTAACAACACAGGGAGGCTGTACCTCAGCACAGCAGTGATTTCTGCTCATGTTAATGTCATCATGCTTACAAGCTGATGTTTGAAAGAGAATAATTTCCATTTTTACCATTTCAGTGTGATATGTTAGTGTTCAAACATTTGCTAGACTGAAGGGAATGTTTTTAGTTGTGCAGGTATTTGGTCATAATCACCAAAATGAAATGTGGGTCTGATCTGATGCCAGATGTTTGTGGTCAAGTTGATGGAATCCATCAAATAGTTGTTGAAATATTTCTTTTTGGATGAAAGTGTTGGACCAACTAGCTGACTTTGCTGCTAGCATGGCTGAAAACATAAACACTTGTATTAAGACATGTAGGTCAAGTCAGTTATTATTGTAATCTAAGGTAACAAATATAACTGCCTTGGCTATACATATAGAAAAAATAAGTTAAAGGGAAAAAATTGTTCAGATGCTTTAATCCAGAGCACCACCAGTTGGCTCAATGTGAAAATCACAGGTTTTGGCCTTCACAGTCACTGGTGTTGGGGGTAACACTTAACAAAGCACCTCATTACTGTAATCACATGACGTTTGTCTGTAATGCAGTAATATAACACATTAGTGCTCCCAAATTCAGCAATCAGTACAGCTACTAATCAGATAAAGATGACTAGCTCCTAACTTCAGCGATAAACTCTACTACCAGTGCCACTTTGATTCTCTTAGGCCCCTTTCAGACATTCATTTCTTTTCATTAATTTGGCATCATCAGTTTGTGCCAGCATTATGTCTGATTGTGCATCTTGTTAACTAAAAGTCATCTTGGTAATCTTATTCGGTCAGATCCAGTAATGTTTCCGTTTCACCTTCAACACAAGTTTAACCCTTTGTCAGGCAAAGAACCATATATGGTAACTTCCACAGGCTTTAAAAATGCCAGAATCACGTGACTTCACCCGGCACAAATGTCATAAGCCTAACTGGTGATTAGGAAATAAATATTCCTTCATCTTTATATGTATGTTGTGTTTCTTTTTTTTTTTTTTTTTACAATAATTCATCCATGTATAATTTGGATTTATTTATTTATTTATTGCATTCTTTTTTATTTATTTATTTATTATTTATTTATTTATTTATTTATTTATTTTACAATAGGTGGAATCGTGTTTGGTAACTGATTTAAAGCCTAAATCTGAAATGAAACCTCATTTGATGGACTGTCCAATCTTACATCTATGATATATATTGTGTGAATACTGTGGTTCTCTCGTTCACTTTCATGGGTTATATCTAAATAAAGCAATGAAAAACATAAACATAAAAGTGAACTGCAGCATAAGCATTCATCCCCATTGAAGTGACTCACCTAATTCACCACAGGTGCAGCCGATTGGTACTAAAAGTCACACAATTAGTGAAATGGAGACCAACTGACTGCAGTGAATGTGTCTCAAATGACTGTAGTACAAAAACACCTGCATCTGGAAGGTCCAGTCCCCAGTAAATCAGTGCTCCTGGAAAAAACTGCACCACAAAGACAAAAGAACACTCCAAGCACTTCTGTGTGTGGAGATTATTGAAATGCATAAGTCACTGAAAATCCCTTGGAGTTCAGTTTAGTCCGTTGTTAAGAAATGGATGGAATATGGCACATGCATAAATCTGAGAACAGCAGGACATTCTCAAAAACTGGGTGGCCTAGAAAGAAAGAGACTAGTTATCGAGGCCACCAAGACACCTATGACCCCTCTGAAGGAGTTACGAGCTTTAGCAGCTGAGATGGAAGAGACTGTTCATACAACAACTGTTGCCTGTTCACCAGTCAAAGCTTTATAGGAGAGTGGCAAAAAGAAAGCCACTGTTGAAAAAGGCTAATATTAAATCTCAACTAGAATTTGCCAGAAGTTTCTCTTGCTACTTTGGAGTCAACTGGAAGAAAGTTCATTGATCTGATGAGACCAAAGTTGAGGTTTTTGGCCGTCAGACTCGACACTATGTTCGGCACTCTTATCACTGCACATCATCACAAACATGCCATGTCCACCGTGAAGCATGGTGGTGGCAGCATCATGATGTAGAGAGGCTTCTTTGCTGCAGGTTCTGGAAGGTTTGTAAAGCTAAAGGGTAAAATTAATGAAAGTATAGAAAAACTGTGGAGGACAACCTGATGCAGTCTGTAAGAAAACTGTAACTTGGGAGAAGCTACACAGAAATGGTTTAAAGACAGCAAGAGGAATGTTTTGAAGTGACTGAGTCAGAATGCAGACCTCAATCCAACTGAAAAGTTGTGACTGAACATGAAAAGGGATGTTCATTGATGATCCTCGTGCAACCTGACGGAGCTTGAGCAGTTTTGCAAAGATGAATGAGGTGAACCTGCAGTGTCCAGATGTTGAAGGCTGGGAACACTTTTTATAGGCACAGTATGTTCAAATGACAGAATCGAGTTATTTTAACAGATTGATAAAGCCAGCAATGTTACATATGTTATGTCTGAAACCGGCTAAAGACACACAATTAAGCCTTGTTGTTGTGGCACAACATTGTTGTGAACTTTGGGCTGGATTTTGTGGTGTTGACTTTGTGGTAGTATTTTATTACAGAGCATAAATGAACGATCTTGTGTATGCCCCCTTCATTAGTATAGGGATTTGTGATGATATGTGGGTGAATGTTAAGTTTAAGGTTATACATTTAACTGGCGAACATGCACTGGCATATGACAAATCATCTCAGGTGATGTTGTAGAGTAACATAAAAGTAATGTAATGAGTAATGTAACACATTACTTTCAGCAAGTAAATTAATGCAGTCTCTAATAAAAAGAAACAAGTTTTGTGTAACACATTATTATTTTTTTCAATCACTGGACCTCGACTTTGCTGTAAACCTCTGAGAGACTCTGTACATGTGTTTTAGAAATTGTTCTACACCACCATCATCACATAAATGAATTAGGGTATATTTTTTTGGAATATTGGTATTTAATCCTTTAGGAGAGGTCCAAAGGTGTTGATCTGTACATGTGCTGAGCTTGAAGTGGCCGTTTCTGTTGTCTTTTCTTTATTTGCCAGCTGTCTCAATCTGTGCAGTAGAACAATATGAGGGCATTCACATTACACTTACTGGTGATGTAAGCTGATGTATTATGCAAAATTCTCTCATATTTTCAATGGGGTGTGACTTCTTTTAATGCTTAGTTGTGAAGTTTTGCTCTTCTACTTGAATATCTCTCAGCAAAGAGTCTATATAAACCCTTCCAACATCCACAGGCAATAATGAACAAATTGTGAAGGTCACTGCCAGAGTTATTACCTTTTTTGGATGTGTTTAGTTATCTGTGCTTGTCAGTTTATTTAAGGGATCATTTCCTCTCTCCTCTTTTGGCTGGGCTTGGTATTTCAGACTGCCATAAACCTTTTCATGGAAAACTGAGAAACGTCTTTCATGAGGAATTCTTGCAAATGTCTTGCAGAATCACAGAGCTTTGATCGCATGTTAATAACGTCTGAGCGTGCCAATATTCTAAATGTATTAAAATGTGTTCAGCATGCATTTGAAGTGTGAGTATTTTGCAGAGGAAAATACTCAGCATGTTGTAACCTCAATTGTGGATTTGATTTCACATTGTACTTAGCAAACATCATACCGTGACCAAACAGCCTGTCAAACAAAGACAAATTCAAGCTGCGTGTTGTCGTCATTTGTGCAGCTACTGAAATACAGAGTCGTTATGGGGCTGAATGACTTGTTTGTGCAATGTATGGTTTAAGTTGGGGTTAAGTACGGCTGGAATTGTGGTTAAGATCATCAGGAATGTCCTTAAAAGTACACTGGTTTTCATGCTGCATTTTTATAAAAACTTTTAGCAGATAACAGCCAATTCTAAAACATTTCTCTTTTATTTCAGCATGAGAGACTCTCGAGGTAAGCTTCTTCTATTTTAATTTACATCATCAATGTATAGGAAACACATTCACTTTTTACCAGAATGAGAGCAAAAATAAAAAGAATCTATCAGTGTCTGAGTGATATTAAACTTGGGTAATGACTTCAGTAAACCTGGGTGATTGGTTGTTACTTGTCATATCTTCAGATTGGGCTCGTCTGGATCATCTGACGTCTCCAATGACACATCAACAAACCACGCCGAGTCCTATTTCTTACGAAGGGAGAACAGACTCTCTGCAAGGAAAAAGGCAGAAGAAGAGACAATGAACAATGACTATAAAAAGGCAGGTGATGCACCTTGAATTCTCATCAATGCTGCTGATTTTCAGTTTGCAGAAGGAGTGTGCTGCTGCTATCTCACCAGCAAACTAGACATAAACTCTAAACCTCAGTCGACCTACAGTTCTTCATCTGTTGGTTTTAAAAAACAGCTTAAAAGAAATAAACTGACATATAAACTCAGGGTGGAATCTTTGTCAAGTATCCAGTGAGAACTAGACACATAGAAGTCATTCCTCTAAAGGATGCTGCATTCCCAACTTCAAGATTTCAAAGCAAAAGCATAAAACTAAATGTTGAGTTGAAACTACTTGTTTGATTGCTGAAAATTAATTAGTGTAATTCAGTTTTGATTATTGATAACCTATTAAAATCATTTAGCTCTTTACAAATTCTCTCTGTTTCACAAGTTTAATGTCTTTGGGTTTTCTGAGTGTTAGTCGGACCAAACAGTGTCTTTATTAGGCATGCTAATATTTACTAATTAGCAGTAAATGCACAGAGGCTGATGAGAATATCACTGGATTTGAAAGTACTGCGTCACAAATCAGTCTAATTAAAATAGATGTCGGGATGCTTTATGAAAAGTCAGAACCTCATAAAAGACTTTTTCATTTGAGCGCTGTGGATATATGTACCAGATTGAATTGCTCTTCACTCAATGGCTGTTTAGATATTTTAAGACCCCAAAAAAGTTCATCCTCGTGGCAAATAATAAAAAACAGTTAAAATAACTACAAGAAACATTTATGTGCTTGCGGATGTCCCTGTTTGCCAGTCTGTGTGTTGTAAAAATAATCCTGTTGGAAATCCTAACAAGTGCACATTTTTGTAGATGTATGAAAAGGCACTGGCCACCAATCAAAGGCTCAAGTCCCGTCTGGAAACAAGTAAACAGGAACTCACCATGATCCAGGACCAGCTGCAGAGAGCGCAGGTACTGCCGGCGGTGATTAATGTGCAAATTTACATTCATTAGTGTGAAAGAAATGAAGGACAATTTGGCAGAGGAGGCAACTGCAATTAAAAAAAAACAAAAAAACAAGTGAAATTTCACAAGTTAAAACCATTCCAACCGGTATGCTGGAACATTGTATATTTTACACCATTGCTGTCACAATGACTCACTGTTATCGAAATGCAGAACCCTTAGTGTGCTGGGATCTTTCTCATAATTATCTCTTATTGCTGCAGACGGGAACATCAAGTGATTGTGGCTCCAACCTGCTAGAAGCAGAAAAGAAGGTATGGACTTGGCATCAGATCATTTGTCTGTATTCTGTGTAGTTTATTTTAATTATCTTTTTAAAATGTACTTCATAGGAAAGTTGGAGCCTGAAAAAGAGGATATCAGATATGGAAGAACAGTTAAAGGTAAGGTTTTTTTTTTTTTTTTTACACGCTTTTAATGCTCTAAATATTCGTTTCCTTCCCTTTTTTTTTTTAGATTTACATTCAGTCTGTCTTAAGAGTATTTAGGGTAAATAATATAGCACAGCTTCTTACACTATAAAGGTTTGTTGATATGAAAAGAACAATCAAATCCAAACGATGTAAAGTGTTTGTGGGACTTGGTGCCGTGGTCCTGGCTGTTCTGTCTACGGTGGTTTTAGCTGACATCATTTGTCACCATTATGCTCTGCTGGCTGTGGAATGTGGGAGCACTTTGACACTGCACCGGGTGCACCATCAGTATTCATCCGACAGTGTAATGCTCACAAACGTCTGCTGTGTTATGCCCAAGAGAATACAAACAAAAACCTCTTGTTATCTGTGAATGAGAGGTGTAAACAAACACGAGATGCTGGCCTGTAAATAGACCACAACAGAGAAGCTCTGTTGCGTGTATTCAAGTCCGGTCCAATTGTGTCTGTGTGTCAATAAGTACAGGATCATGTATGTGTATGTGTGTGTGTGTGTGTGTGTGTATGTGTATGTGTATGTGTGTGTATACATCATTGTGTTATAATAGCTTGATTTATCTGTATCAAATGCACTATTCTTGTGGTGCCAGATCTCTTTCTAAACGAGTCAGCAGCTGAAGCACAAGTCAGTAGAGAATAGGGAAACCCAATGATGTCATCACTGCAACTTTAAAATGCAATTTTAGATCAATATGTACATTTACAGACAGGAAAGATGACGCTGACTAATGCTCAGCGCTGTGTAAGATTAACCTATTAAGGACTTTCATGTTGCCATATGTAGAAGGTGCAAATGTGCAAAATAGTTGTTGGTATTCATTATAGACTTTTATACGATGTTAAATACACTTTCTCATAAGTTTATTTTTGGTTCCAAATGCATGACAAGTGTCCCTCTTTTTATGTTTAAAAAAAAAATCTTCAAAAATAAAAAAAAAATACTTGTCACCTAGACCAAAAGTCCTGAATAGGGTTAAGTTTTTTGTTTCGCTGGAATATCCATCCATCCATCCATTATCTATACACCGCTTAATCCTCACCAGGGTCGCGGGGGGGCTGGAGCCTATCCCAGCCGACTTAGGGAGAAGGCAGGGGACACCCTGGACAGGTTCGCTGGAATATGATACATAAAAATAAATACAGCATAGTTCTCTTCTTTTGCCCAGTGATTGTGGACAGTTGAACATCACTGTATTTAATGTATGCATCTGCTAGTAGTCGGCATAATAATGTGTAAATTCTGCTACAGTGAGAGACTCGATGAGTTGATATATTAACATATTAGATATCTGCAACAGCTTTGGTTTCCAAATGACACATTTCTGTATGTCTTTGTTTCTCTGAGCTCTTCCCACTGCTCTGAAGTGGATTAAGTTCTTTGCATTATTCAGGATTTGTTTGACTTATTAACAATTGAATCAAATGCCTTGAAACTTGTGGAGTTCTTGGATCATTGATAATAAGGTCTCATCAAACTACGCGCACACAGTCAGGATTAAGCAAATAATTGTCTTTTTTTCTTCTTTTCTTTTTTAAACTCTGATGGCTGCTTAGTAAGTCATTATTACCCTATGTTATGGAGAAACTCAGGATCTGAATCTTGGTGTTTTGAGTCGCCTCATACTGTACGTCTTTATTATGTTTTGAAAGCATGCAAAGCCATGCCTTTGTTTTGATGATGGGGGAGGAACATGTTTGACATTTGGGTCTGTTGGTCTGAATCTGTTAACTCCACTATGATGTTATGGGGGCTGAAAAGGTTGCTGAAACGACCAGAAATCAAAACCAGGCCTCGGCACGTGGCATGTAAAAATAATAATGTGTAGTGACTTTGAAACTAAAAGTAAAGAATAAGCCACAAAATGAGCCACACAGCTGTCATAGCAAAAATACATATGTCATGCATGCTATTTGCATGTCTGTTTCATGTTTTCTTAAGTTGTTCAGTTGACAGCGAGCCTTTCAGGATACTATAAACTCTCTTTTTTTCATTTTTCCTCAGGTTAAAGCAGAGCTGAAGACGGAAAACCAAAGACTGAAGGATGAGAATGGGGCTTTAATCCGCGTCATCACTAAACTTTCTAAGTGAGATGAGACGAAAAGTGGGAGAAGAAGAGCGTAGGGACACCAGAAGCCATATTTATATCTGTATTCATTGTAAATTCATTCTCTGAAAGAATATATATGTACATAACTCTCCAGAAAACTTGAGCCCATTCTAGCGATTGTAATTATTTAGCGGAATGACAGCGATGTCGGAATTTCTGCCTGTTGAGTGATGTGAAGACACATTTACAGGCGTAAAACCGCAAATGTACTGTATCCATTGTAGCAACACATTACCAGACTGAAAATGCGTTGAATAAAAGTTTATCTTACGCATTCACAATATATTTCTATGTAAAGCCAAATCCCAGTTACTCTGTTTTTCTTCACTAACTTCACTTGAACAAAGTGTTTCATAAAAATTTCATATTTACAACAGGATTATCCCTGCATTGACATGGACAAACCATTGCAGGTACCTCCACGGAGGTATTACCATGGAAACTGGAATATTTGGTTGAATCTATATGCAGGCCCTGAAAACTGGCTCTGAACTACCAGGCACAGCAGATGATGGATGAGCTGCATTTCTCAGGAACGTGGGAGCGTCATCTCTGATTTAGGAGCTTTACCTTGACGGATGATATCGCAAATGACACGGTTCTCCTCTTACCTGCGCAAAACGCGAAACAATCAAATGTATAAAAGGTAGTCAGAGAGTATAGGAAAAAAAATAAAAATGCTGCTTGTTTTGCTCCAAAACAGGCAGCAGCCCAAACAAACCAGACTTGCATGCAAAATATGTGTTATCAGCTCAGTCTCATTGACCTTTTATTAAAAGTCATGTTAATAAGTAGTGACAAAACAGTTTCACCTCAAGGTCAATTAAATAGCTGTTTTGGAGCATCTGATCATATCATATGAGCTTTATCACTAGATGATGAAAGTGATATAGCATATCAAGAGTCAGAAAATGAGTTTCAACTGTGTCTTTTCACCTTTTTCAAGAGATAAATGAGAGATACACATGGCTTTAGTGACACATGATTCATTTTGTTCATCCCAATGCACATACGTTACATTTTGGTTTTTCATTCATTTTCTGTTGTCACACTTTCACTGCGTCAGAGAAGCTGAGCTACTGGAAATGTCTTTCACGCATCTGATGCCACCCGCTGACCGTAAGTGGAAAAGCATCCTCTGGATCCATTTACACACCACACAGGACAAGGCTACTTAAAATGCCTTTATTTCCTACGATTACATTTTGACAACACACATATGTCCTGATCACATCCCATATTTTGGTTCCCTTGGGTACCTCAGTTCTACATAGAGTGACGTATGACTACAAGTTGTTTGGTCTTTTTGTTTGCTTTTTTTTTTTTTTTCTTCTTCTTCTTTTTGCTGGAAAACATGGATTTTGTACGGAAATAAATCATGCACTTCACAAAAAGGCACAACTATCGACACACCTCTACAACAAGACAAAACAAGAGTCAAGAAAGACATTCAAGCATTTCCCTTGTCTATGTTGCTTGGTAAGTGAATACATGGCTGAGTAGGATGATAATTGGGTCTTTGGATGTTCTGTATTATGGCTATGTTCACATAAGAGGATGTTGACTACAGAGGAAGCAGTACTTAAGCAGCAGGTTGGCAGTATTGCATTGCGAATGTGGATTTTGCACTGTTTGGGTCTGCTCTGTGCTCAAGACAGCTTGTGAGACCCAGGAAGACAGGGATTTTGTTGCCTGCATTGCAGAGAAGTGATATAATGCATTAACAGAACACCAATAAACAAAAACGGGCTGTGTTGGTCCTATTGCAGATACACAAAATAGCAAATGGAGAATCTAATGTGTGTGATATATATCAAATGACCCCAGCAGAAGATGAACTGACACACATTATAGAAAACAATGTAATGAGGTGCTTCTTCACAAAAAAAAAAAAAAAGATTTTTAAATTGACAAATGAACCTTCTGTCTTCCCCTCAGCCTCTCGAACACAGACACAAAGCTACGTTGTAATCAAAAAGATGGACAGTCATGAAGATGAGGACTGTTCATCTTCATGCGCTGTGTATTGTAAGTAAAGATTCATCTAAGAGAAAATGATAATGACTCAAAAAGCAGATGGGGGAAAACAAATCCCCACATTAGAAACGTCACTATAGACAGCATCAATATCTCAGAGCATGCACAAGTGACACAACACCAGCTCATCCCATTGCAATCCGCTTGTTAAACTGTGTGTTCATTCATAAAGTGAAGTTCGTAATGAAATTTTATTGATTGCTTAATTATTGGACTGGAGCTACTTGAGAGGACAGCATCAACAATATGCTGTAATAATATACTACGTTACCAATACAGCAAAGAATTAAAAAAAAAAAAAAATACCGTATAAGAAATTGAAAAGAAAATTAGGTTTATTTTATATGGAAATATAAAGAGGGCGGGATGAATAGCAATAAGATGAGGAGGTAAAATTTCATGACGTACTAAGAAAAAGGGGCTACAAGTCAATTAAGTTGTCCACCGTATCTACATTTGATTAACTAAGACTTGACACCCATCTGGCAGGAGTAAATGAAGGAAACACTTACGGTACACTGAGATAGAAAATCAAGGAGCCAGCAAATATTCTCCCGTTTTGAAATATATACAGTCTACTAGTTAGCGGCAAACACAACAAGTGCAATCAAAAATGAACAAGAATTACATGACTTGCAGCCCAAGAGTTACTGTAACACTGGATTTAGCACAGAGAACAAATACAAACGGTGACAGAAAACCAGACGATCATGCAGCACTATGGAAAGTAAGTGGATTTTCACATGATACATAAAGCGACCCTGCTTTTTAAATCAAGGCGTAAGAGGAGCCCGTGAGGCCCGGCATGGATTATTCAGACGTACATTCAGTCCCATTCAGCAAAAATACATACACTTTGCAGTCAGTGCATACTTTTTTTTTGTTGTACTCCATTTTATTATCAAAAAATGACACAGAACACAAACACACATACACAATATAATTATGGTTCCTCTTTTAAAACATGCTACTATTTACATCATCTTGTAAATACATGCTGTAGCCTATTAACAAATCTGCGCGATGCATAATGTTAACAATAGAAAGTAGAAGTACTGTGGATGAACCAATCAGTGTGCTGCTGTTCACATCCCTTTAGATACTTTTGCTGACAATATGGATACAAAAAAGGGCTTTAACAATTTTTATAAGACACTGAATACCTTATTCTAATTATTTAACCATTAATAAAATCTCGTTGTTGAAATTTGAAAACCACAAATCTTTTACCTGGAAAACCATCTGAATTTCTACGGTTTTATGTGGATCTTTCACAGCAATTTGTAAGACACAGAAATGGGGATTTACTCTTTTTTCAATTCTTTATCAAAGAATGTGTGTGTATCTTCAATGATCTACAGAATATTGGGGTACATGGAAAGCTTGAGAGTAACAATTTCATTCTGGCTGGACTGCTTATTGTTGGTATCCTGCTTCTTCATATGTTATTGTGGTGCCTGAATTAACTAAAAAAAAAAAAAGATCACTTAAATCTGAGCAACATAAGCTGAAATGAGTTCAACTAAATGCTGAGAATTTTTTTTTTAAAAATTGCACACCATAAAATAATCTACTTAAAATTTAAGAGGGGGAATTCAAACCTTTTATTTTTTTTTACCTATAATTTCCCAAAGTTTCAACACTAAGAGTTCCTTACTGATTAAAATACACAATCTGGTATTAAGTTGCTTATAATAAATATTTCCTTGTCCCGTTTTTTGCCCCCAAGCCTCTACACATTACACTAACACAATATATCTGTGATGACATCGTAACACCACCATGTTGCAGCACTTTGGCTCCAGGTTTACAAAGCTTGTGTCTTGATTGAGCGGTTCAAACAACATGAAACACTGCGAGGCATGATACATGCTCGATTCTGCAGCTCTATTTGGTTCAAGCAAATGGCCCAGGATATGTGTATTATAGTATATGTTTGATTTAGCAGTTGCCATGTTTAGATTCTACAAACCTGCAAGTTATTCTTGATTTCACAATCTTTTAAAAAGTGAAGCTACAGCTTACAGTCCAAATTCAATTCTCTATAAAAACATCTTGTCTTTGACAGAAATCCTCATGTTGTTTCACCAGAAACTATTGAAGTGTTGATGTGGACTACAGAACGCCAGGTAAACTACAACATTAGTCAAAGACGTACAATCATTTTAATGGTTATCAAAATAAAATGAGATCGATGGCACTGTTTTTCGGAGGCAACAGTAGAATTCAAAAGAAGCATAGTCATAACTGTTTCAAACATTATTGGTAATCCTTCCACTTTCCTTACTGCATCCATTGATCAGTAAGGTTTTACATCCAAGTGGTCAACACAGCTCACGCCAGATTTTAGATGGCACATTCACAGTGTCCCTGACAGCTTTTGAATAAAATTCAACCTCTCTTAAATAAACAATGAAACCTACCATATTTCTCAAAGTGTCATATCAGGAAGGCACCCATGTTTCCTTTCCTACATTAGGTCTGTCTGAAGACACAGAAATGTGTGTTGAACCTAAATGCATAGATGTGCCCTCACGTCAACACAAAACAAGCAACAAAGGTCAGACAACTCTATCATCTTTGCTAAACTGTAAACTGCTGCACTATTTGTATCTCCTTCTCAAATGTGAGCTGATAAAATGAAGATAAATTTCTCTTGAAAACATATTACAACATCCATCACTGCATACAGTGACCTCAACCTGGTTCGTTCCTAAGTAAATTTTTTCGCATTAATAGACATAAACCAACTCTATGCAGGAAATAACCCAAAACTACAGTACTTTCTATGGCATGTTATAGCACACTTATTAGCAAGATACAATACTGGGCGTGGAGCACGCAGAGCAGTGGGGACGTAAGTAAGCATGCTCTATAAACTAAACTAAAGCTCTTTATCCAGCATTGTCTTCACCAAGACTTTCATTCAGTGTCAGCACCCTAAGAATCAGTTTCTTCAAATGAATGAAAGACCAGAAGTCAATCATTCATGGACCAGTCACCCGATAACACAACACCATTCTTCTCAGCATACACTAAAGTGTGAAATGTGATGCTTAAAAAGAGTTTCTTTTGACTTAACTATGAATGAGCAGATATTCTACGATGTCTCTTTTTTGCTGTGCAGGATTCATGACGTGTAGTCACGTGTTAAGTCATGGGATTCATGCAAAGAAGGGGTGGGGGTTGGATTTCTGAGTTAGTGCATTAGCTGGTTGGTAGAGCATGTTACTTCTTGGCATTTAGGGATGCCAGCTGACCATCAATATCCTCCTCTGGCTGCAAGGCGTGCCACTGGGCAATGGGGCGGCGTGGATTAGCCAGCATGTCAGACCAGTGCTTCAGACCTAAGCCGGTAGCCTTGCTGCCCACAAAGATCTTTCCGATGGCGTCGTTCTTACCTATCTTGTCATAATCAAACACTGTAACTGCCACCAGGATTTTCTGAGAAGGCAAACAAGAGAAATTTTGTGATTCCTCTGCTATTAAGTCATCATTTCATCAGTATATGAGTGGGAGATTGATTTAAGATTGGACAGATAAGATTAATGAAGATCAAAAGGTCTGGTTTGACTTACCTGCATCTGTTCCAATGGGATTTCAAAGCTAAAGGATTCATTGTAATATGGATTCAGGGTGTTCTTCTTCACTGTAGTCTTCTTTTTCTTCAGACGCTTACCCCCCTGCAGCAGCTGGATCTTCACATAAGGATCTGGAACGAGTGTCAATATGATCAACAAAAGAGACCACCGAGGCCATAAACCATTAAATACTACATTGTTTTCTGTGACAACTTATCCTCAGTTTCCAGGATATGTTGTTTGTATGCAGTTTTCTATGTACACAGACCAGGAAACATAGAATTCTAAACTGTATTTCCTATGTTATTTGCTTGACAAAGTAAATGTATGTCTGGGATTAGACTTGTCATACTTTAAAAAACAATAAAGTAAAAGAAAATATTAAAACATCCAGTGCCTGAACTCTTGGCTGTACCATTTGATACCATAGCACTGTATGTTTAGAATATTCACAGCCACTGTCATAAACAAAGCTGTTGTAATCAAGATCCTATTTACAACTCTGTGACTTTGAGTTAATTATGGCATTTCTCTACCAGATAAGCCGCAGGCATCCATCTTCTTCAGGTTCTTTGCCTCCAGGATGCAGACGGTTAGTTTTCCAGCAGTGGGGACGTAACGTAGGGAGATGCAGATGTCTCCAAGTTTCTCAGGCTGAGCAGCCGGCACAGAGAGGAGAGGCAGAAATGACAAGCATACACACTCATCAGACAATTGCAAACTGCTTGTTTTATGACGCGTTGATGCAAGATGTTCTGCTGCCGCCTGCTCGATATCCTAAATTATACTCTCATGCTATAATTGAGTTCTGTTTGACCTTGCGGGAACATTGGCAATATATTTGCTTCGAATGCCACAGCTCTATCAGGATGTCGGATAGCTCGGAGCCACAAAGTTTTCTGTGTCCTCAGATATGGTGACACTTCTGTGAAAAGCAAAATGGAAAATAACACGGATGCTAGAAAACGATGTAATCTATCCGTTTTAATAAAAAGTAATTGTGCATAAAAAATACCTTCACCTCATACTTCACAGGCACGCAATGCCATCGAGACATATTTCTGCACTAGTGTAAGAAATGAATATATTGACTCTGATAAGTGCCTGAATGTTTTATACACTTACATAAAATACCATCTTTCAACAACTGCAAATTGAGGAATTATCCTTGAAGGTTATGGATGGCTTGTCAACAAATCCAATGAAAGGACTTGCAGATGTACTTTCTGACTTTCCTCAGCTAGGAGTGATCCTCAACACCTAATATAAATAGCTGGGGAACGCAGTTTTTAGCAATATTTGAAATATAAGAAAAGAGTGAGAACTATTGCTAAATGCACACATTTGGTTCTTTAGTGAGTATTTATGGCAGCAGCACGACATGTGTTATATACACAAACAATTCATGACCAACAGTGGAGTGCTATTGCACTGAGGATTTGTATGAGATTTGGTGACAGTAAGAAAATCTGTAATATCAGTAGACTATTCTTTTTAAACAGGTAAATCAGTATAATCAGCACCTCCTCTTGATCGGCACTCTCCAGATCCCGCCACTCCTCGATCGGCCGTCCAAGGTCGATGGTGTTCATGGGCAGCTTGACTTCACCAATGACATCATGTTTGGAAAATCGATCATAGTCATAAACGGACATACACAGGGTCTTGCCGCCAAGCTCCTCGTAGGGCACCTGATGAACAGATACAGTGTTGCTTATAACTCAATCTCCAAATTTTGTCCATTACAGTTGAAAAAAATCTATTTAGGAAAGTCAACTGAACGTGACAAATATAATGTGTACAAAAGAACAGTTTTTAATGTCGTTAAGTGTTCATATAGTGTTCTATAGTTTCTTGAAAAGGGCAACAGCAAGCAAGTCAGACTGAATGGAAATTCTCACTGCAAATACTTTACATTGATGTTGTTTACTGGACACTAAACCAGGAAATAAAGAAAATAAATTAACAGCTAAAAACACAGAAAATAGATTGAAGTGAAGTTAAAAAAAACTAATTATCTGAGAAGGACTATCCTGTGTCTGATGCAACGACAAATAACATGCTTATGAAGAAAATTAATTTAATTACATATTTTTTTCAAATGTGAACATCCTTCAAATATATTGAAAAATATACATTCCAGAAGACAGAAATGTTGCAAAACTGAAGATGACACTGGGTCTCTACACCACCATCCCATCCCGTCTATACATGAAATTATTAAAATGCATTAAGTGTTAATTTAGTTATTTATTTTAATTTTTATTTTCCTCTAGTAGGGCCTATTTCAGTTCTGTTTTTTGGTACTTGTTTACTTGTATGCTATGTCTGATATTCTTTGTGATATTATTTTTCATGAGAAAACCAATAAAAAGACAATTACAAAAAAAAAAATGCTTTAAGTGTAAAAAGTAAGAAATATCTCAAGTAAATCGTCACAGGGAAAAAATAAATGTGGTGCTGAATATTTCTGTGGCTTTGTCTGGAAGGGAAAAGGCCCAAGCATTCCAAAAAATAAGACTGTTTCTTTTTTCTTTGTTTCATTTCTTCTATTTGTTTTGTTTCTGTTTTATTTTTTGCTGCTGCAAATTTGCAGACTGGCAGAGCTTCCAGCTTGACCCAGAGCCACTTGTAAAGTCTCTGCGGGCCTTATTAGGCTGGACAGGGAAGTGTAAGCAGCACAGGCCAGTGGGTACACACAGACAAGACAGTCAGTTCTATTACACTCTACACACCGTGAGGGAAACACAGGGTGTTAGGACAATTATTTGTGCAACGTATTGTCTATATAAAAACACTAACTTCCTCTTTATTATCCAGAAATGTTAAATCTGTCTCTCTTATTTTGCTGCTGCATGTGTATGAGAGAAGGATGCACACCGTTTTCTCCCAGTATAGACTGACAGGAGTAGTAAACTTACCTTAAAGACAAATGTCTCATTGAAGACAGGGTTCAGTGTCTTCTTGTGCACTTTGGTGTCATACTTCTTCTTCTTATCAGGGAGCAGAAGGACTTTAACGTAAGGATCTGAGGTTCCACCTGAGTCCATGGACATGAGGTCTGCAGCTTGAAGGATGCCAATCGTGAGCTGTGTGCAGAGGATTGGGCAGAATGTAAGCATCAGGAGCCACTAAGACAGAATTTTATCTAAAAAAATAGAATAAAAAATTCAACGTTTGTGTCAGGGTCACTGCCTCAGACTGGTTATATAACTTCAACTGACAACTTAAGCCTCGCAATCAATCGTCTTAGCTGACTGGAGTCTTGTTGACCGTCGGAAGGTTTCCTTCAGTGCCACACAGTTGTCACAGTGTGGTAACTTCTATAAAATCGCTATTTTGTATACTCTAAAAATGATCTTTTCATCTGTTTCTGCATTATATAAACATCACTACTACATCAGTAGGATCAGTACTACTATATATCTGACTATTCAATAGGCTGCAACTAGCAGCTTGTTAGCTTAGCATAAAACTGGAAACAGACTGGCTCTGTCTGCAAGTCTCACAATTTAAAAAATTTAAAGCTCACTTATGGATATTTTATATCTTGTTTGTTTAATTTTACCCCCAAAATAAATGAAATGTAAAGACAATGTTTGTTCAGTTTAACAGAAATGATGTGCCGGTGTATGTCTTGACTGGTCATAGTGGTAACCTGGAGTCTTACATTATAACAGTCCTGCACATAACCCTTGTGAATGAAAAAAGTACCATTTTTCACTTTAGATTAAACAAACCAGAAGCAAGATAATTTTTCTGACCTTTTGAGGTGCTGGAGGACAGATGTGTTACCTTTGGACAGAGCTAAGCTACCTCTTTCATCCTATTTCCAGTCTTTATACTGGAATAAGATAACCAGTTACCAGCTATAGCATCATATTAATCCTACAGACATAATACATCTTGCTCTTGCCAATATTTCTTTAAATATTGGATATTTTTGGGCAGAAATCTACATTTAAATTCTTTAAAGAAATATGGCTAAATCTAAACTTGGAAGCCTAAAACTGTCCCTTAGTTTTGACAAAATATTTGTTTAAGCAATTACCAAAGACATAATATAAGTGCAAGTGACAAGCACAGACCTTTGTATTCTCAAAATCATAATCTATAGAGTACTGCAGCTTCCCCAGTTTCTCTTGTTCTTTCTCCTCTTCCTCTTTCTCCTCCTCTGTCAGTCCGGTCTCTCCCTCATCATCATCGTCATCCTGTTGTTTCTGCGGTGTAAAAGTAACATAATAAAACCCTGTGTTAAAGGCTGGAGGATCAGGAATCAGAACACAGGGCTCCCCATAACAGCCAGCATGCCACAGACACTGGAGCTCCAGGAGTTTTTATGTGGGAGATACACGCACTGGTTACTGCTTACCTGTACAGCACCTGATGATAAAAACCAGCAATTTATCATTTACAAAAGGAGACATCTCTGCTGGTAACAGATAAATCGATATCTCTCTTGTATTTTAAAACTCTGTACACCACATCAGGTGGCATTTTGATAACAAGTGTTTTTCTTGATCAGTGGGCAATTCCTTTGACATGCTTGAGCAATACAGTGACAGCCAGAGTCAGTGGAGGCTTTGCATGCTAGTTCCACTAAGAGGGGTAATACAAGATACAACTTTCCAATGAGATCAGAAATAAGCGTAGGTCTCTTGTTTTAAGATCTTAGAGTTCACTAAATGAACAACAGGATGAATGCTCGAATAAAACCCCTAAGGAACTAGCTCACAACAGCAAATGCCAATGCATATTAAATGATAAAAGGCAAATAAGACATAATATTCAGGGCAAGGAGATATAGATATATTTCCTATGTTATGGCTTTCAAGTGGACTGCAATTTGTAGCTGTATTAAGCCCTATACTAAGTAAAGGTAAGCTCTACATTCATAGCTTTTATATTTGAACATAAATTCCAAATTTTTCAACCTGCATGCCTTTTATTTTACCTCTAAATTTATGTGGGACAAAAAAATGACTTTCCTTTCATCTCACCATTATTACAGTAAATGGTTCAGGATTAAAGGGCACAGCCAGCTATTTGAATAATGTAGAGTCTTATTGCTGCAGTGTTATTTTTGTAATTGAATTATAGCCTCTTTGTCAAAGTGACCTTGACTTTGAAATGTTGTTACTGTTTTCTTAGGGCCTTCCAGTGTCTCCACCTCCTCCTTGAGTATTACAACCAAAAAGAAGAGATTTGCAAGTATTTGGCTCGTCATGCAGTTTTATCATCACTGTTTCCATGTCTCCCAAACAACCAACCATGCCCTTTATCACATGCACAGATTATTAGTGTTAACAGTGTCTTGCATATCATCTTTTAAATCCAATACTTTTCATATTGGTGTGAGTTACAGTTACATTGTCCCAGGAACAATGTGTTAGATGGTTAGACTCTCCTCTCTGGGGTTTATGGAGCACATCATAGCTTTCCATTGTTACATTCTCAAGCTACCATAACAAAAATTAACAAAAAAATAGGGGAGACTAAAAGTGAAAAAATAAATAAATAAATAAATAAAAAAGCAAAAGGAAGCTACGACTTTCATTCCATGAAACCCCCCTCCGCCATGGGGGGGCAGAGAGCATCAACGCGAGCTATCCACCTACCGTAGAGCGGGAGTCCACCACAGTCAAGAAACACGAGGCACAAACAAGACAGACACAAAGCGGAAAAAAAGGAGGAGAGCAGAGAGAGGAAGAGATTCAACTCACAAGACACCAAACACACTACAAAAAAGAGAGGCAATCAACACCACCACCACCACCACCACCATTATGATGAGAAATGACACACTTGTTTTTGGCCGAGGGCGATAAATTCACATTGTGGACACAAGCAATTCGTTGTTTTAATTAACTGCCAGTAAAACTTGTGGTAATCTAGGCTGATATGAGCTGATCAGGCCACAAACTTGTAATTTTTCAACATTCATTTTACTTTGCCTCCAAAATCTTGAAATATTTCTGCAGGCTTTCTATTTTTATCCATTAACGTTGGTAAAAAAGTACAACTTTTTGTACTTGCAGCTTATTAAAAAAATGCTTCCCACATCATCGTGCTCATTATTCTCTGCCACTTTCTAACAAAGTGTGCCATTTTTCACCACAGAGCACAATCGAATACGTCACACAGTTAAACAACCACAACAACTACAACATCAAGTAAATGGAGGGGAAGAGAGCTCTCCTTGTGTCCTCTACAGTCTGGGCTAAAACAGCTGCTGGTAAAAGATCAAATTTAGTTAGCCACAGTCATATACTCAAGGTAAAAAATTTGTCAGAAATAATAATAAAAACTTGAATATCAAATTGTTGTGGAAAAGAAGCAAAATGTCACCCGAAACATCCTGCTAGCCTGACTTTCCAGCATGTAGGAAGCAAGCATCATACCTCGCCACCCTGCATGTTCTTCATGTTGAAGCCGTCCTTGCCCTTCTTTCCTTTCTTGTTCTTCTTCTTCTTGCAGCAGCATTTTTTGATTATGCAGAAGCAGCAGGTGAGGATGAGCAATGCTGCCACCACAGCGATGGCAATCAAAGCCCACGGCGGCACTGTGAGTTTCAAAACACAGAGGGCATTGGGATTGACCTGCAACTTTGACATTTCTCACAAAGTAAAAGTACACTTATTTTTCCAAATCAATATATTCAACTGAATTAAATGAAATGTCAAATAAATAACATTTTGAATCTTGCAAAGAATTTAGAATGTACTGTGACATTACTAACGTGGGATTTTATCAATTTCATTCAAGAATTTGCTCTTGATCTCCTCAAACATGTCATTTTTGTTGATCTCTGTGTTGTTGGAGCCAGAGGTCTCCGGCGCCGAGGTGGACATGACAGCCGGTGTGGGGGCCATGGTCATGGTGGTGGCGCTGGTTGGCTCAGCCGCCGTCATGGCCTGCGGCTTTCTGAACAAGTTGAACTTCATTGTCAAAGACTAGGTGCAGCGTCCCTGAGACACAAAGAGATCAGATACAAAGCAAAGATTAGCAACGACAGAAAAGCAAAGTGTCACGGATGGAATTTGTTAATGGAGGAAAAGTAAATCAGGTGAATGTAACATGTTACTTTTAGAGTAAACTTTAATTTAAGGATTTTGGTGGATCAAATACTTAGCAAATTTTACATTAAAAACAGTCATTGTTTGTGGCTTTTAGAATGTGAGGATTTGCTGCATTTATACTGAATATCTTTGGGTTTTGGACTGATTGATCAGATCAAAATAATCTATTAAAAAATGAGAATTTGTTTCAGCCCGAATTAAAAGCTTTTACACCAACATGAAGGAAAAAATTCTCAAACTGTTCAGAAAAATGAAAGATCTGCTGATGAAAACAATGTTACATAATTCAAAGCACTAGAACAGATGGTGAACAGACCTTTCCCAGTTTCATGAAAGCAAATCTTTGATGAAGATCATACAATGTGATCTAAAGCGTCAGAAAAACTGATAGATGGATCTTGTACTGAGTTGTCTAAATTTTAATGTTCATGTTTTTAATTTATGGAAGCCCGTTTAGCAAGTAACTAATAGATCAAGACACAAATCCTCAAATGAGAACTCTTGTACGGAGTAAAAGCCACAAAAGACGAAAGCAAAGTGAGCCATTACGCTGATGATATAAGAATTTTCTGTGTGAAGATAAAGCTGGAACTGAGGTGATTTTCCCTCCTCCTCCTCTGAACACAATGATCTGCCAGAAGTGAAGGACACTCAGAGAGAGAAACCTGAATGTCAATACTTTTGTCAAAGAAATAAAGGAGTCCTTGAATCCTTGAAGAACGTGAGAAGCCAGTTAGATCTCTACAGGTAGATGGTAGCTCAATCGGTGCAAAATGATATAGAAGACTGATACCTCTACGGAATCATATTCCCTGTTAAATGTGACGATATTACCTAAAGATGACTAGTTTGGCTCAGTATAATCTTTGGATCTTAGGGAATCAGAAACTGGTTCCATCAAAAGTGTACAAAGTTCCATTGCGTTATTAAAAAAAAGAAAGAAAGAAAGAAAGAAAGAAAGAAAGAAAGAAAGAAAAAAAGCATCTTAGATTTAGACGTGCATTTGGTGGACCTTGTTTTGGCTGAACAAAACCATTTTAGCTGTTTCCAGTCTTTATCCTATATCCTCAATTGTAGCTTCATATTTGCTGTACAGAGATAAGAGTGCTGGCAAATAACAATCTTGTCATGTAACTCTAGACAAACCAGCAAGTACATTTCCCCAACTGACAAAGTAATCCTTTAACGTTTAACAGCATGAATTTTCTTGACATGAACCTGTTTCTTGTTCCATTCTATATGCATGTAAGAAGTGACTTATTATAGTATGCATCTTTTACGAGCTTTCATAGTCTTTTAGGTCATTTTTCAACCTAAAACTTAAAACATTCTCTGCTTCTAGCTTCTCAGCTGTGCAGATTTTCAGCCCTCCTTTGTCTTTTGTGATTGTAAATCATGCATCTTTACGCTTGGACTCTTGGTTGTGACAAAAATATTGATCGGTGTTATTATCTTAGGAGTTCAGAAACTGTCAGGCACAATCGTTCAAAATTTTCCGACATTTTACAGACAATTAATTGTAGAACTGGAGGTCTAAAGAGGAATGAACTAAGATGCTAGAATGCTAGAAACAAAAAGAGGCTGCTCTAAATTAGTCTCCCCACTAATCACAGACTAATAAAACAAGTGTGTCCTCACAATGGTCCATCTTTAAACAGCTGACTAAACCAATTTACCTCCTAGCTCCAAGTGAACATTATATTATTTATCCTCTGCTTGCTCTTTGCGCAACCATAAGTGACAGCAGCACGCTATTAACATTTACTGCTGAGGTGTCAATGCTCTGCTCTAATTGAGCCTCATGCTCTTGTCACGAAACAGAAAAAACAGGCTACAAATAACGAGAAGTATCTGACAGTATCAGTCCACTTTTAATTAAATTAGAATCAATGACTCATATTGTGGTGCCAACAGAGAGAATTGTGCTTCTTTTGGTAGTCATTTATCAGATTACTTGAAACATACAGGGATATTGGGATTATAGTGGTATAAATTCCGTCGGCAGGATATGTCACCACAGTATGATAGATGTCTGGGAAATGTTAGTCAGCCCAGTGTTACTGTCAGCACTGAACAATGTGATTTGGATGCTGCCTTTATGCTTTGGTGCTCTCCACCAGCTCAACATAGTGCTAAAGAATAATTGGCAACTCGACAGCCGTTTACTCGCTTTGCAGCTGTAATTTCTCAATGTTTATTTGTTTTTGCTTCAGGGTGAAGAACTCAAAGGAGAAAAGTGCTCTGACAGAAAAGGCTATGAAATTAATACATTTGTTTTTTAAGGGAGAATATAACGTGACTCACTCATTTGTATTCCTCAGTACATCAAGCAGGTCAGTTTAATATTGTTACTGTGGCTAGAAATTACTGTGGTGAGGTAGATGTAGTCTAATGAAATAAAAATAATATGAAAAAAAAATGAATGAACACTCAAGAATAAAAGACAAAACAAATTGTGTACATGTGTCTGAGTGAGTGAGCGTGGGTGTCAATGCATCATTACAGCTCGGAAATGTTCAGAACTATCAAAAGGAAATTTCTGATCGCCTTCTAAAAGCACTGAAAGAGACATGATTTGTCTCACTTTTAAAGAAGATTTCTATCCACTGTTAGAACAAGCAAAGACAACAACTGAGTGTGGGGTTTCACGGATGGTAAGACAAGAGTGTAAAAAAAAAAAAAAAAAAAGAGAAAGTGAGCTTTTACAAGATTGAATTTCCCTTCTGGGATAAATAAAGTATTTTTCATTTCATTTCACTTCATTTCATTTCATTTCATATGCAGCAAGTCTTCATCTAAAGAAGTGATGTGGTGCACATGAGGATATCAGTATCACCAAATAAAAGCAAAGCATCAGCATATGACAAACACAATTATGATGTAACCTCATCCTCTTGTTGACTCAGGCCACAGATCAATAAGTAGTGCATTCCAACATGTGTATTTTAGCATAGACTTTCTCTTGTTGTAAGCGAGGATTTGTGGTCCGATGCACGCTGTTCATATACCGTACAGTAGAAGCCTATGTGCTGTGGGCCAGCACATCATTGTTGCTAAGCAATCCTGATAGTCAGCTATCCAGAATTGCACAAACCTGTCTATATCTGAAGTGACCAGCCAATCAAATAACCAGCTGGCTCAAGGCCAGTGTCAAGTCATTGCCCAAGCGGAGCAAATGGACATGATATGAATGCAGACTGCTGTCACTGAGCTGTGATGTATGATGGCTAAGAATAAAGTTTTAGCTACAACATGGGTTTTCGCCCAAAAATACTGTAAAACTATATGTCTGCACAGCAAGAAATCGTCACCTCTGATATGAAGCATGTCAGTGGCTGAAGTATAAAATTCAGAAAATTCTAAATACTGATCCTGTGCAGGAATAACTCAGTACTCTAACTTCCATAACTTAACACACTACATGCTTTTTGCTTACATTCAGATGAGCGATCATGAAGAAGCGAGTGAATGCAAATACACCCAAACATGTCTATGCCTTCCCCTCCTATTATAGCCTACCTTTTACCTCTATGCCATTAGCACTCAGTCCTTATCTGCCTTTGATTTCTGCAGCTCATCACTGGCCAGCATCACTCAGCCATAAAGAAAGCCTCTGACATATCCTCATTAACAATTATATGCAGGTACAGAGACTACAGTGACAGTGTAACACTAGCTTGAAAATGCAGAGAAGATTTTCTAAGAGAGCTACGATCTACTTGTGCATTTTGATAACATCCATGTCAATGAACTGCATTTCAATCTGCAAAAGATCTTCAAAACAAAACTCACCAGTCAGATGTGGTATTCCCTCTCGTGAGGTGGCCCATCCAATATCAATAATTGTTTGGGCTACAGTTCCTCAGAGCTTTGGTAACATAGTCTGATCTCTCCCATAAGCAGAGACTGCAGTCTCCTCTCACTTCTCTCCACTGCAGCACTACACCCCTCCTCCTCCTCCTCCTCCTCCTCCCCCTCCTCCTCCTCNTCCTCCTCCTCCTCCTCCTCCTCCTCCCCCTCCTCCTCTTTCCAATGCACACCATCTCCCCCATTTTCCACCCTCCCGTCACACACCTCCCTACTCTCTCTCTGTCTATTCCTCAATGTACTCATGCACGCAACCTCTTTACCTCTTTTCCTCCATCTCTCACTCTCTCCCTCTCTCTCCCCAACCTCATTTGTGATGCTGCTCACACAGCTGATTGCAGCATGCCACTCTTTGGTCTAGTATTGGAGGGCAGTTGTAAAAGATCAATATGCACAAGCTACGGGGTGAGGGGTATCTGAGTAGAGCCACGGTTTGCACAGATCAGAGCTATAGCAAATGAGCAAGGTATGCAGTAGGAAGGCTGACGAACTCTTAAGGGTGCGCTGACTTTACCACATCAGCTGCACAAATGGCATTACACTGGGCTCATACAATTAATTGGATCCTAACAATTGATCCCAGATGTGTGATATAACCCTCTGGAGAGATCCCTCCTTGTTAAACTCTTCAGAATGAACAGAACAAAGACCGATCACGCCAACTTGTCTGCCTTTAACTGATCTCTCTGGAGAATCGTATGTGATGATTGGAAGTGAGCAGACTGCAAAGCATCTTCTCTAGTTACAATACAAACAAAATGCAGCCAACAGTGGTGCACTAAAACCATTACATGGTGAAACGTGATGTGTGACCAACCAATGCAGAACCACACGTGCAAGGCTAAAATATGAAAACTTGGGGGACAATTGTAAATTCTTATAGCTTGCCGTTGTATGTATTCTGCATGGCAAACTGGTTTCAAACGTCCAATGTCCCTAATGCAGTTACTTTTGTACATATTTGAGCCATATTCAATTCCAGCATTCAATCTTTTCTC